CCATATTATAACATCGACTGAGATAAAGAATAAAATAAAATATTAAAATCACGATGTATCTCGCTGCATTGCGCGAGTACACTTCTTATATATATATGTGTGTGTGTGTGTGTGTGTGTATGTGTTTTTGGATCCATGTTATCTTCTATAATTGAATTATTGTAATTTAGTTTGCTTATTTTATATATACTTAATTTAGTTTGCTTATTTTATATATACTTCTCATACTATATCAATGTATCATTTGTTCATCAATGTGAGATTTCCAAAAACCAACCACAACGTAAGGTTTTAAAATACATCATTCTCAATATGTCATTTCAATTTTTTTAAATCATCTTCTTATATGGACAAACAAACGCAATCACATTTCAAGATTTAAAAAATACTCAAATCTCATAATGACAATTGCAAATGAAATGGTTGACCCATTTGAGCCAACATCATGACTTGCAACAAAAATATCACCTCATCTTTTTATATATATATACACATCTCATGCCTTCTACTCTCTTTCTTCCTATCAATATGAGATAAACAAATTTAACCACATTTTAAGATTCAAGATTTGAGGAGTATTCAAATCTCATAGTGTCAAGTCATTCTATTTGGTTTTTCCTAATATATATATATCTATACTATATTATAAAGCATTTGACAAAAACTCTTAAAAACCATTTTTTATGCGTAAAATACTGTTTATTAATGCATATTACTTAAAACTCAATATTACAAGTAGATTGTGCGTAAGTACAACTTATTAAAGCTCCATGTATGAATTCGTGTAACTAACTTAAGATAAACATAATCAAATACATGATAAATATCTCATTTTAAATATAAAAAATCTAAAATATAATTAAGATAATCGTTAAGTTCTAACAGAACGCTTAATTATTATCTTTATAAAATGTTATATTATTAAACTAAAAATAAATTATTTCATTATTAAACTTAAATTAAATTATAATAATACAAATAAATTAAATAAATTACATAAAAATGAGAACTTTTAAATAATTGATTTGATATCAACTTTGATATATATTTTTTTCATATATATATTTTATTCAAAAATAAAATTATTATTGTTTCTTAAAAACACATAATCTATACTTACTATATTATAAAACATTTGACAAAAACTCTTAAAAACCATTTTTTTATGCGTAAAGTACTGTTTATTAATGCATATTACTTAAAACTCAAGATTACAAGTAGATTGTGCGTAAGTACAACTCATTGAAGCTCTATATATGAATTCGTGTAACTAACTGCGGATAAACATAATCAAATACAGGATAAACATCTCATTTTAAATATAAAATATCTAAAATATAATTAGGATAATCATTAAGTTCTAACAGAATACTTAATTATTATCTTTATTAAATCAAAAATAAATT